CGCCCTTCAAAAAAAAGGTTCGGTTGGGACCAAAGTGGCAGACTGAAGACTTTTATCATCCTGTTCTTGGTAGAAAGAGGAAAAAATAGAAATTATTGAGCTTGTTTTAATTTGACATGCGATTAATTTATTTATTTCAACTGAGATCGATCAGAGAAGTTGGTTCAAATCTAATTATTAACTCAAATTTGTGTTTCCCCTCAGTACCACCTGACCATAGAGGCGGTGTATTCGGTGGAAAACTCCCTGGAAACGCTGCTGGATTTACTGCAGAAATACCGGGAGAAAGCCGGGGACAAAGTGGCCGAAAAGGGCGGCAGCATCTTCACCAAAGCCTGCTTCCTTCTCGCTCTGCTGCTGCAGGACCAGCGCCGCGCTCAGGTCTGAAGCAGGCAGAAAAAACGTCTTTCCCACTACTGCTTACAAAAACATTTAAATTTAATCTATCTCCCCTCAGGAGGTGGTGAAGCTGCCTAAAGTTTTGGATCGAATACGTAGCATCTACCGGCTCACCTTGCGGAAACACAGGATGGACGAAGAGCGCAGCATCACCAGGCAGAGAATCAACGCCTCGATCAACGGGAGCTTCTACGTCCCGCCGACGCCGCGCAAATCCAAACCGCCACCAAAGTAGGCAGCATCTGATCTGTAAAAACCCAAACGGGACTTTTGGTTCTGTGGGAACTAAAATGCTGTTTCCTATAGAGCTAAATTAGTGTCAGAAAGATTCGCAAAGTGTACAGTAAGATCTGCATGTGTGTAATAAGATCCAGAAGGGTAAAGGAAGGTTTGTAAATGTACGACATGATTCACTGTTCTGTACAACACAAGGCAAATCTTACTGTGAATCTTGGGACTAATTTAGCTCCATACTTTTGTGTCGTTCAGGTTTGCACCGGATTGGGTTCTGAGGAAGGACAAACTGAAAGACGTCGTCGATCCCCTCAGGGCGATCCAGATGGTGGCCGAAACTCTCGCCATCGTTTTATAAACAGAAAATATTCAAGAGTCTGTTTTCACAGAAAACCTCATATTTAATGTTTTTGGTTTTGGTTTTTAATCCAATTATTTGTTTGTAAATACTGAATTTGATCTTTTGTGATAATAAAATTGATCTTGTTTAATGTTTTTCCTTTTTCTATCTTTTCTTCCTGTTTCGGGGAACTTAAAAAAAAAAACGCCTAAAAACTCGTCTTTTCAAATCTTCTTACTCTATACTGGAACTTTCTGATGGTTTGTCTTGTTTGTACAGTGTTTTTGTTTTGAAAAGTGCGTTTAAATAAAATGTATTAATACCGAGTCATCTACATACAGTTCTATATGTACAGCTAAATCATCATCTTCACGTTTTGGGTGGAAAAGGGAGGAAAACTAAATCCCAGATGTTGGAATTGGATCTTTTTATGAAGTAAAAGAAAAATATTTCATTTCTGAGAGTATATTTATATGCTCAAATAGATGGCTAAGTTATGTAATGTTCAAAGTAAATGTTCTGGAAAATTAGTTGGTTAGTAGTTATTACTTAGCATATTTTTAGACAGATGTTTTTACAGAAAACTAAAATCTCAGTTTTGGATTTGTTTCCAATGACTAAACACCCTGTCAGTTCTGAGGCTTCGCTGAAACGCAAATATGAATCTGAAAAGCAGTTTTGAGCTTTTTTCAAATTATTAGTTTTCAGATTTTTTATTTTTGAAACTTTTTACCCCAAAACTTTCAGTTTCAAATGATTTTAGTTTCAAGATTTCCTTCAGTGTAGAAACTTTTTCCAGTTCTAAATCATTTTTAGTTTGTTAGCACATTTACTTTTGGCACAGTGATAAATGTGCCATCTGTGTTAGAAAGACGCCTTTTATTTTACAAATGTGTGTTAAACTAGACATTTCACATGATGTGATGCAATAAAGCAACAGGAAAACAAAAATAAACAAATGAGGAACCATGTCAACAGTATCAAGGTTTTTTGTTTTGGTTTAAAAACTTTTTTTCAGTCTCAAAAAAAATTTTTTCATTCAAGTATTTTAAGACTCAGTTTTTATCCTTCTTTTCAATGTCTTTTTTTTATTTTTTAACAAAACTTTTTGATCCCAATTTTGCTCCATACCACTGCCGATCTACTTAAACAACCACAGGCTAGTTGAGATTAATTGGATTATTCTTCAACTTCACGTTTAGAAAATATAAATAAAGGGATATATTTGAGCTTCACTGCAAAAACAAATCTTACCAAGTATTTTTGGTCATCTTCCTATTACAAATATTAGTCCACTTGAAATCAAAATTAATGAGCTACAACAGCATTTAAATTCCCTGTGGGATTAATAAAGTATTTTTGAATAAGGTAAAACCACAAGTAACTTCAAGATATGAGCTTGTTTTAAGTCAATATTTGGAAAAAGTACTTGTTCCATTGGCAGATTAATTTCACTTTTAACAAGACATTTAGTCCCATGTCATAAGTGAAATAATCTGGAACAAGTACTTCATCAATATTAAGGAAATATTGACTTAAAACAAGCTCATCTTGATGAAAGGTTACTTATAACTTAATTTTGTCTTATTTGAATGTAAGATTTAAACTAGGAAATAGACCAACCTGTGGTTTTATGAATTGTACTGTAAATGTTCATTATGTTTAGCAGTTTCCACACCTTTTTCAGCGATTTATAAATATGTTCCGTACAAGTTTTCCTTTAACCACGGATGAAGCGCAAACAACGCTGAACATGCGCTGATTTACTTTCAGCAGGAATATTTAATAACATCAGGCATCAGCAGCATGTTTGGGTCAGTGCGTCAGAAAATCCGCATGTTTCAAATGTGAGTAAAAGAAAATCCTTCCAACGCAGACATGGTTAAATACGAGGCAAAAAGATTTCTAATGCACCTTTAAACATGGAACGTAACAAAAAGAAAATCAACACATTTTACAGCCAAACAGTGAATCGGCTTTGATTTAAAAACAAAATTTAAAAAAAATTATATTTCTTGCGATTTGCTCTAATTCTTAGTTTATTTAAACTTATTCGACCTCCTCTAGTCTCTAATAAAAGTATTTTTCCCCAAGTTTTGTGCTTTTGCAGTGCTGAGCACATTTATGCTAATAGCGGAGCTAATCTTTAGCTTAACGCTTTTGCGTTTTGTTTTGCTAATTTTGAAAACATTAAGCAGTAACCAAACTTCCCTTAAATTATTTTTAATGAAAATATTACAAAGTGCAAATTTAATTGGCTTTTTTGTAAACTTTCAGCTGAATGAAGTTTGAAATCTGTTTTGAAGTTAATCAATTGTTAAGAATTATTTAAGTAGTTGAACTGTTTTACGCTCTTATTTTGAAGTCTGTTTACGCAGCAATTCCATTTCCGGTCCTCACATTTTATCTTTTTCGCACTAACTTTATTTAAATAAAGACACATAAGGCAGCCAAGTAAATGGAGAGCAGAGAACTAAATATAAAAGTACAGAACATCTTATAGCATTATTTACTATGTAAATTATGTTGTCAAAATTAAATTGGTGTAGCGCAGCTAGCTCTTTAGCTTTTTAGCACCACTGTTCCTCAGGTTCAAGAAACGTCATTTTTCAGATTTAATCTGACTCAGATACACTTCAAACTCCATATGCATTTTCCATTAATTTTGCATTTTTATCTTTTGACTCTCAAAAGAGAAATACAAGGTTTGAATGAGACATTTAAGCAACTCCTTATGTGAAATATGTCGACATTCTGATAAAAAAGACCTTCTTAATGCCCATAAACTGTTTACAACAAAACTATCTGTAGCATTAAGTCACACAACCAAACCAGTGACAGGTACAGAATACAGACTGTTATCTGCACCTGATTCAGAGTATTCTCCTGTTTTCAGCCAATAATTAACGCCTTGCATTGCAAAAACACATAATCTTACCAAGAATTTTTAGTCTAATTTTTACTGCATATGCTTTAGTACACTTGAAATAAGACAAAACTAACTTACACGAAAGATATAGGAGCTTGTTTTAAGTTAATTTCCTCATTTTGATGAAAAAGGACCAGCTCCATTGGCAGATAAATTGGGGGAAAATGTCTTGCTATAAGTAAAATAATCTGCCAATGGAACTAGAACTTATTTTTAATCAATATTGAGTAATTATTAACCTACAACAAGCTGTCATTTCTTGTTGCAATGTTTACAAGTGTAGTAGCATATTTACACTAGAAACTGAAACAAAATTACTTGGAAATGTTTGTTTCTGCAGTAAACAAGCCTGGACATTATATTCACCCTGTTTGCTTTTTTAGACTTTGGCTCTTTTTATGCTGATGACAGTATTATACATTTTCTGCACATAATTTAAAAAACAAAATTTTTCCATGTTATAAGTGGAATAATCTGCCTCTGTAACTAGTACTTTTTCAATCAATATTAAGGAACTATTCATTTAAAACAAGCTCCCATTTTTTGCTGAAAAAAATTTTTTTTTTTTCAAGTGCAGATATTTACAGTAAAAACTAGATAAAAAAAAACTTGGTAAGATTTTTGCAGTGTAATGTGAACAAATGACCCAGATATTTTACAATAAAATTAGCTGTATGGCTTTAAGGCAGGCAACGCAAACAAAACACAGACAGGTACAGAGTAAAGGCTCAGTTTTGTGCTCATGGTTCAGCTAATAAATAATATCTGCTAGTCCTGCTGCCATGGGGATTTGTGCAGTTTCTCTCTGCTTCCCTGCAGCAAACGTCATCGGTGAATTTCAAGTCTGGTACAGGAAGTCTGAGCTGAACGCCGGGAACCGGACGGAGGCGGGCAGCTGTGTGATGATGTTGGCGTTGCACATCAGCTGAGCAAACACGTGGTTCTCCTTGGTGGTTTCGGGGAACCGCGGCGGGTCGCTGTGAGGCGACGGCGGGGAGGCGCTGACGGGGCTGTCGCACCGCCCGGACCGGCTGAGCAGACGGCGGAACAGGGAGCGCCGCAGCAGGATGTAGATCCAGGGATCCAGGATGGGATTCAGGGAGGCGATCCGGATCGCCCGCAGGTCCGCCTTCTGGTCGCTCTGGAAACGGTTGGCGAAAATACGGATCTGAAACGCAAGAACAGATTGGTGAGGAGTTTAATCACGCCCAGCTTAAAAATGCTTTATTAATCCCAAAGTGAAATTAAATGTTGTTGTAAGTCAATAATTCAAAGAGAGTAAAGAGTAAAGATCTCCTGTACCGGTCTGTATCACAGCGAATCTGAAGAAGCCTCTGACTGAAGACACTGTTTTGCCAAAACACCCAGTCAGTCTCATGATGAGGATGTCAGGGTTGTCCATAGTTTTCTTGTTTTTATAAAGAAATCATCATCACAGTCATAAATAAATGCATAATTTAACGTTTTTTTAAGCATGTAAGATATCTGCAGCAGTGTGCGGAAAGCTTTAAGGGCAGAAAGCTTTATAGTCAGAATTCTGATGTTTCTAGAAAAAAAACTTGGAAATTTCTGAGTTTGAAAAGTCAAAACTTTTCACCTTTTGAAACTCTTCTAGAAAATTCATGATCTTATTCTCAAATTAGATTTTTTTTTTCTCGCAAATTTCAAACTTTTTTAGATTAAAACTCAAAATTTCTGTCTCATAAATTTTTCACTTTTCAAGTTTTGCATAACTTTTCTGCAAATGTTCGACTTTTAAAGCTCAGAAGTATTAAAAAAAATTCTAGAAAATGTCTAGGAAAAACTTTCTAAAATTTTCTATTAGGAAAAAATATCTAAGAAATTTTTATGTTAATCTCAAAACTTTTGTAGAAAGAAACCTGGACATTTCTGTGTTTGAAAAGGAAAAATTTTGGTAGAAAAAGAAACTGATGTTTTGAAATTAATCTTAGACATTTTCTAGAAAAACCTTTGAATTCCCTTTTGTTTCAAAAGTCTAAACGTTTTTGCATTTTGAAACTCACAAATTTCCAAGTTTTTTCTACAAAATTTCTCTAAAAAACTTGAACCCGCACACCACCAGGTTACATTTTTTTCACAAACTTCTGACATTTGAAACTAAAATTTAAAAGTTTTATCCAGAAAATCTTTGAGATTAATCTAAAAATTTCAGATTTTTTTATTGCAAATTTACGAGTCCTTGATGTTGGAAATGTACTTTTTTTCTAGAAAATTTCAGATCTCAGCATTTCTGAAATGGACTCATTTTTTCTATCATGACCCCGATACGTCATTGTCAGTTTGTTTTGGTTTGTTGTGACAAACAAACGGAGGTGACTGCAAGCAGTCTGATTTTTGTTCCGCTCTTGGATTATTTGATCCAAACGTGGTTCAGTCTGAGGTCCGTTTAATTAATAAAAGTCAGATCCAGTGCGATCCATTTGCTGTTTCCTGGTCTACTCACCACTAACGGGGCCGAACAGGCCAGAACCACCGCGGAGGTCATCACCAGCACCGTCATCATCTGCGTCTCCGCAGCCGAGGACAGCGCCCTCCACCTCTGCCTGACGCTGGCTCTGGTTGCGGGCCGGTGCGCGGTTCTGCGGCGCATCAGCAGCAGCGTCCCGCACACCGCCAGGTTCAGCACGATGGTTCCGAGGATCAACATCAGGCTCACGACCCCGTACAGCACGGAGTACGTGGCGGCCAGAGGCTCCGAGGTCTTCCAGTCAATGAAGCACCAGGTGCCGGACGGCTGCAGCTCGCTCCTGGACACCCCCATCATGGGGAGGCAGCAGAACAAAATGTGGCTGATGTAGATGAAGAGCAGGAACTTCTGGGCCGAGCGGCGGTTCACCCCCCAGCGCTGGTACCGGTAGGGCCAGCAGATGGCCAGGTACCGCTCCGCCGCCATGGCGCCGATGATGCTGAGTCCAGTCAGGCCGAAAAACAGCAGCAGGAAGGAGTCAAACTCGCAGACTTTGGGGTCCAGCAGCACCTGGTGGCCCAGGTAGTTGGCGATGGTGAACGGGCTGGCCATGCAGGTGCCCAGCAGGTCCGTCACCGCCAGGCCGCGCACCAGCGAGAAGAAAGCGGACGACTTCTTCTCCTGCCGGGACACGGAGAGCACCAGGATGGCGATCAGATTCCCGATGGCTCCGCAGGCGAACATGAAGATCGGCAGCGCGATTTCAGTCGAGTTGCCTGACCGCTGCTGGCATAGCGACTCGTTGACGGGCGCGGATCCGTGCGTAAAGTTCGGAGTCTCCATAACCAAAAAGGGCCAGAAGCTGCCGGGGATCTGGGAGCGCATTTCCTCTTTTCCTCCCGGAGGATGAAGCTCTGCGGAGTCCGAGCCGCTCTGCTGTCCAGTAATCCGCAAAGGGAGCGCTAATATCGGGGCTGAGACAGCGGGATGTCCCGGATGTTGGGGTTGCGCCAACCAGCAGTCTGACGCGCATGATGGATAGGAAAAGTCTTTCCACTCCAACTTTCATCACGGGCGTGTGGTATTTAGAGTCGGGGTTTTCTGACAGACGCAATATTTCTCTATTCACACAGAAGGAAATTTAGAGGAACTTTAATCTGGGTCAAAGACCTGCAGCCCTTTCTACACAGAGAGGAATGTTTACCCTCAGCCCAGGTGAATAAAACTCATTTAGGTTGTTTCACAGCCTAAATGTTGTGAAGACATTAGACTATCCGGTCCAGTTCTACCAGGCCTGATGATCTGAAGGTCTGACAGAAAAACATCTCAAAATGTGAGTTTTGTCTAGCAAATTTTTGACTTTTGAAACTGAAATTTCCCCCGAAAAACTTCGAGATAATTTCTAAGATTAATTTCAAGATTTTCTAGAAAAACCTTGAAATTACATTGTTTCAAAAGCTGAATTTCCATGTTGTTTTCTGGAAAATTAAAACCTGTTTAATCCCAATTTTTTCCCAACAAATTAACTGCATGCATTTCAATCCTTGGACCTCCCTAACAAATGATATTTATGAATTATTACATTTTATGTTGGTTATGTTAGTGAAAATGTAGGTTTTATTCTCGGCAACACTTGTTGCCTGTGGGATTAAACGGGTCTCTAAATTTCATATTTTTTCTGAAAATTTTGGACTTTTGAAACTAAAAAATGGCCATGTGTTTTATTTAGAACATTTCTGAGATGAATTTCAATATTTCTGTTTTTTCTCCCCTTTTTGTATTGTTTTCCACGATGACCCTGTGGGCTGTTGTATCTATTAGCATCCAAGTGATCAGGATTTAAATTTAAAGCAAACCAACCCCATCTGAACCTTCTCTTGTTCAAGTTTGGATGTTTTTCATGCTACTTCTTTTCTCTCCAGTTCATTTTAAAGAATCATCCTGGAAGTTTTATCGATGTAAACATTTCTCTACATGCTTCTTCTTGTGTTTGATGTTTCCAAAATGCAGAACAAAGCGCTCGGATTTGAAAAGTTCCTGACTGTAAACGGTCGTCAGGAACATCAGGGGATCTGCGGCGGGGACATTCGGGACGTCAGCATGTTCAGGTTCTGGTACCGTCAGACATTCATTACAGCTGGACTTGTGTTTACACTGAGCAGCAGCGGAGAGGGGATCTCTGTCTGCAGCCGACCTTAAAAGACAAAGCAAAACACCAGAGTGATGCCAGGGCTGGGAAACTCCAAACTGACTGGAATATTGTTCTGTTCGCTATGAATCATGGGAGTTTATAGCTCTCTTTAATGGCTGAAGGTAGCCTGTGTTTCTGAAGTCCATTATCTGTGCCTGCGGTGTGACTAACCAGCCGAGAATAACATCTTGGCCTGTCCCTAAAAGTAAATTAGTAAAATATGTTCCTGGCTGTAAACATGTCTGAAGGAACCAAAACAGCAAGTACAGATGTTTCGTTTGGCTCTTGTTGTTTATGGCAAAAATATACAGAAATAAGTGGCCACCTGGGTTTAGCTAAGCGAGTAGGTATGGGGGCCGTTTGTAGCGCCACACTGTAAGAAACTAACAGCAACATTTAGGTTTATTTAGGCTGGCACAGAGAAATAAAATATGGGTGTTCATTTTCAGACATATTTTCACGTACATTTATAAATATCAGAGTTTCAAACTAAATATTTAATTCACAGCTAAATATTTAGTTTACGAACTAAATATTACAAGCTAAATACTTAGTTTAAAAGCAAAATATCTAGCTCTGAATTTAATATATATCTATGAAATTAAACATTTTGTAAGGAACTAAATATTTAGTTTGTAAATTATATATTTAGTTCCCAACTAAATGTTTAAGTCTGTTTAATATTTAGTAAGCAAAATAAAGCTTTCATTTGGAACCAAATATTTAGTTTGAAAACAAAACTGAATAGTTTGATAACTAAATATTCAGTTCAGACTTAAACATTTTGTTTGTTAGTTTTCAAACTAAATATTTGGCTCCAAAGTAAAGGCTTAGTTTGCAGACTGAATATTTAGTCCCCAACTGACTAAGTTTGATGTAAATATTTCATTTTCAAACTAGATATTTGGGTCCAAAATTAATATTTAATTTGGAACTAAATATTTAGTTTGCCAACTAAATATTTACTTAAAAACTAAATGTTAAACTTTGAGCTAAATATCTAGCTCTATACTAAATATTTTTTGTAAATAATTTGTGGCTAAATATTTAATTTGGATCTAAATATTTACCTGACTAACTAAATATTTAATTTGAAAACTATATGTAAAGTAAGTATGTAGTTTGTGACTTAAATGTTTAGAATAATAATATTTATAAATGTGTGAGCAACATGGTGAAAATATGGCTAAAGAATGAAAACTCACATGACTTTATAAAGAGCACCCCATAAATAAGTGCGATCCCCCACTGGGATAATTAGTGCTTTAACTAATGAGTAGCTTCTAATTTATTAAGATTTCTTAGTTTTTTATATTATTTTAAAGACAGAATGAGGAAAAAGGAGTTTTCAGTGTTTGAATTGTCTGGGGGATTTGAGAGAGAGAGGAGGAAAAACTGAACTAATGAACTCTTCTGTTTCCTGGAAGTGAGTCAAGAAAATCTCTCTTGGGTCTTGAAATGAGAAGGAAGGAATCCAGAGTGACACGGAGGTTATGCAAAACAGAACCAGAAGAAAGGCAGGAAGGCATTTATTTGAACAATTTGGAAGAATTTGTGAGTTTAAGCAGCTCGAAATAATAATCAACCAAAGTACTTTTATGGAAATGTGCTTCAGCATGTTTTAA